GAATGGTTGTCTCATTTGTCTCCATGTGTCCCTGTGATGGACTTGAAACCTGTCCAGGGTGTACCCCGCCCCTCGCACTGTGACTGCTGGAAATGGGCACCAGTGACCCACGCAACCCTGAAAAGGAATAAGCGTGTACAGAAAATGGATGGATGGATAAAATAAACTAAAAAGGCATAAATAGCTAACACTGTGTGCAAGGTGTGTGTGAAGAATAAAAAGTTTAAATTAGCAGAAGAATAGCTGAAGAGACGAGAAAAATGGCTGGGTAAAAAAAAGGAAAAAAGTTCAAATTAGTACAAAAAAATTTAAAAGAATTTGAAGGGAGCAGAAATTAGAAAAAAAATAGAATCAGAACAAAAGGTGAAAAGTGCAGTAAAAACATTTATAAACATTTTKCAACAAATTGCTGAAATAATAAAAGCAAGCACAAATGAGCTGAAAAGTTTGAAATCTCATTTGTTCAAACGCACAAAACCTGAAATGAGCGAGATGCTGAAAAACATACAGATGGATCATCTCAACTGTGTGAATGCTTCATTCTCACACAATTAAAAGTTCAGCTATTATTCAGCTCACTTTCAGCTTCTTCATCATTTACCTTGTATTTAATTACCATGAAGCACTGTTATTTATACAAATACTATAAATACTGAGTAAATCTGTAGCCTGATGTTTCTTAAATGATTCTGGCACAGATCAGCATCTCCAAGTGCAAGTTGCTTTTATGAATCAGAATCTCAACATTTCCACACATTGTCGTTGATTCTTCCTACAAATTATTCCTTAAATGTTTTTGCTTTCATCAAATGTTTTCATGTAATAAATCTAACTCCTAAAAGATGCCTTTAAAACCAAACAGTGAGCGCCATGCTCTGTTCCCATCTGCAGCAGGACACACTTTGTGAGGAAATATTGTGGCCAAATAATGTACAGCWGCTAGAATCACATAACGCACCTAAAAAAAATAACTGTAAACTGCTTTTCTGTRTCTAGAGTGGACGTGTTTATTATGCTGAAAGGATCAGGAGGCAGGGAAACACTGTTGTTTTTGTTTTTTAGGGAGGGCCCTAGTTTCTCTCTCAGCTGAGGACATTTTGCCTGTGGTGGTTAGCTGACCTTTTCACAGAAAACCTGTGTGTGTGTGTGTGTGTGTGTGTGTGTGTGTGTGTGTGTGTGTGTGTGTGTGTG